TAAGATCCTTTCCAACCCAAACCACTCTAGGATTGTGGGATCAGTAGGTTTAACCAGCTGTGTTATGAATTGTCCCAGCAGCTCTAGGAAATAATAAAACACCTCCAATTAATACAAAGACTCCAGGAGAAGCAGGACCTGCACTTCTCTGAGCAAGGCCAGAACTGTCACTTCAAACACACTTCAAAGGCCTACTGCCTGCTTAAGATCATTTGTTTCACTATATTTAAATAAGAAACATCAACGAAAAAAAATATTCTTGAAGTCTGCTCGTCCTCTTTGCTGGTGAAAATCCATCAGAAGTGTGAGGAGCATCAGGATCATCCTGCTCTGTACCCACCACAGCCACTTCTGGAAAACCCTGCCATTAGGGGATTCAGTTAATATCAGTTATTTCCTGAGTCCCAGCAGAGAAGGGAGAACATCCAGATCTAACAGATCAATCCTTCTAAATCACTTTTAAGGAATTTTTTCTTTGTTTTTAATAGATGCCCATTTAAAAAAAAAATCAGCATACAGAGATCTAAGCTTCCCTCTCCCAGCTCAATGGGGTCTCTCTAATTTATACAGGCAAAAAAAATATTCAAATGCAAAGATTTTGATGTTAAAGTCGGTATGTTTTAAAAAAGGCCTCCAGCAGGTGCACAAATTCTGTGTTTCACAGGGATTTAGAGTGTAATCCCCTTAGGCTGCTCTGAAAATTGCAGCCTATTCTTAGTTGCTGCCAGTCCATGTCAGCAAAATGGTTCTTCTTCATTATGATATTTTAATACTTGGGAGTGTTAATTGAGGTTAAGCTGAGGTTGTGCCCAGAACATTTAAAAAAAAAACCAAAAACCTGCCAGAAAATGAAAGTCTCCTGAAGATAATATGGAAAAATGTGTGAAAAACTGGAGATGAGATCTCCTTTCCAAGGGGAGATGCAGAGAAACTGAACTCACCTACATCCATCCTTGCTCCAGGACCTTCAAGGCCAGGCTGGACAGGGCATGGAGCACCCTGGGATAATGGGAGGTGTCCCTGCCCATGGAATTTTATGGGATTTAAGGTCCCTTCCAAACCAAACCGATTCCGGGACTCCATGACCTGCCCAAGCTCTGCACATCCAGGTGGAAACAGAAAATACAGGATCTAAGCTACAAAGGATGAAGCTCTGGAGCAATGGCTCCTCCTCAGTGGACATCAGAACATATCACACAGAACAGTCTGAAACTCCAGAACACCCCTGGGATCTGCACCAGGCCAAACCCAACTTCCATTTCTCTATCAAGGAGACAGATTTGCTGTAGGAAACTTTGCTTTGTCCAAGACATTTGAAAGAATTTATTCTTACCAAAAATAACAACTGGTTTACTAACAAAGGACAAAGTTTTTGGTCTCTCTCCTACACTGGAATAGTTCCCGAATTATTTTAGGAGGAAGGAAAAAAAGCAGCTTACACAAAACACTGCATGGCACAAGGAAAGCATCCTCACCCAAAACTCTGCTCTCCTTCTCCTGGTATCCAGTTTCTGCTCTCAAATCATTCCTAGGAGTTAAAACTGATGGAAACTCTGTTTTTCAGGAAGTCTGCACTGAAAATCAACCTCACTGCCTAAACTCTGCATGGAAATGCTGTGCCAGGAGTGAAATCTTTGCTGGCGTGAAGGAGATGAATTCCATGCAAGTGTTTGTGTAGAAAATGATGTGAAAACAAGAAAGTAAAAGTCCAAAGCCCTGAGGTATCAACAACAGAATTCTTTCATGAGGAGATTAATTTTTAGAGAAATAATTGAATTTATACTGTTCTAACACTCACATAATTCAGTCCTGGCTAAAGAGCTCTGAAACTGCCAAACAGAAACCAAACACTGGGACACCATGGAGCGTTCTTGGGGCTTTCAGGGAATTCTAACAGGATCACTGAAGGAAGGAAATAATAGAAAATATGCAAAAATCATCTCTGAAAAGCTAAAAATACTCAGTAAGGAAAAACTGCTTTAAGAAGATTTAATCAATAATTAAATCCAACCAGAAAACAAATATTTTCATTATAACCAGTGAAGACTGAGAATTGAAAAGATGCTAAAACCAAGCGGAGCTGAATATGGCAGTTGAGAGATCAGGATTTCAAACTCATCATCCAAAAATCATCTCATTTTTAAACAGTTACATCCAAGGACCATTTTCATCAGCTTAACAAGTCAGTCTCATGCCAGCAAATACCTTTTTAGGTATATGGAAATCTGGAATTATTTTGCATTTAAAGACCATCAAATCATAGAATGGTTTGGATTGGGAGGGACCTCTAAGATCATCCAGTTCCAGCTGTTTGCAGGGCCACAAATAAGAATGAAAATGTCCCAAGTGGAAAACAACTTTAAACAAAACAACCAAACCAAGCTGGCACCAGCGCAGAGCGTTTATGGCTTTACCTATAAAGAGCACAGCCACATCCCTCTGAAGGCAGCTGCTGACTGTTCTTTATGTCCTCAGTAAATAAAGGCCTTCCCCAACTCATCTGCAAACTTTAAATGTTGTATCTTTAGTTAGAGCTTTTAGGAGCTGATCAATAGCTTGAGAAAAAAACCCATTTTACAAGTCTCAGGGTTACAGCGGGGACAATTTGAATGTCGGCTTCTCAAAGATTTGAGGAGGGGAAATGAAAACCAGGAATTGCTGCTCTTAGAGAGGACAAGAGCAAATATAAACCAGGACTGGGGTATTTCCCATAAGGAGGAACACACCAAATGGACATTTTGTTTTGTATGAATTCCTCTACACATCTGAAGGAGCGTGGGTTTGACACTGTTTTGGTTTTTGCCTTTTTTCCTTTTGTATGATCTCTGTATTCTCTCACATCATTTTGGAGCTCTCTAACCTATTTCATTAATGGCTCATTTTCCCAATAATTTTCCATGACTTTTCCCCTAGACAAAAAAACTGCACATATTCCAGAACTCCAAGCCCTGAGAAATGCAAGACCCCTGTCCTACATTGGTTCTTCCTAACTACCAAGGCTGAGAAAAACTCTCCAAGATACATTTCATGGACAAAGTACAGTTTAGTGCCTAACTCCAGAAAAGGGACTTAACCTAGAGAAAACTGCATCACCACCTGTCCTCCTAATTAGTACTTTCATCAATTATGCTAATTTCCTAAAACCTATAGAAATGTACTCACCACTGTGAGGGTAGACTTTTCTGGGCATCTTTCCATAGCTGTCCCTGAAAGCCTTCAGTAAAAATCCACTTTTATATTACCTCTTACCCTAAATTTATCTCGAATTTTATTTTCAAAGTTGGGAAAATGATAACAGGCTTAGATGGGATTTTGGGAAGGAATTGTTTCCTGGGAAGGTGGGGAGGCCCAGAGCTGCCCCTGGATCCCTGGCAGTGCCCAAGGCCAGGCTGGACATTGGGGCTGGAGCAGCTGGGACAGGGGAAGGTGTCCCTGCCATGGCTGGGGTGGCCCTGGGTGGGATTTATAAACCCTTCCCACCAAAACCATTCCATAGTTCCATGATGTGACTTTTGTGTGACGTTAAAAACCAGCAATGTTGGTAATCTGAGCATGTTCCTCTGATTAAAAAGCAATTTGGAGGCCAAATAACAACCACCACCCAGAACAGCAAGAACTCCACATTCCATTTTGCTTTCAAAAGGAAAAAAAGTCTTAAAAGAAGTGGATTCACCCTTTTATGAACTTCCATTGGTGCCACCACAGTGCCAAGAGCTGCACCCACAGCCCCAGAGCCTTTGGCTGTGCCACTCATAATCCTTAAAATCCTAAAGAAAAGTGACACAGGCCCAGCTGATCGTTTTCTGAGCTACACAAACAGCCTGCAGCACCTCACAAAGGCTGATTTTTCATCCTGGGGACAGGCACATCAAACAGTTGGTGCAGAATTTCCCATTAACGCTTGAGATTGCACAGGCTGGATGTTTTGTCAGGTAAAAAATTAATTAAATTAATTTTATTTATTTATTTTTTTTTCATATGCTGGATTTTTTATTTTTCCTCATTGTCAGGGCAGCAGAGGAGCTCTGTCCCTGCAGGGAAGGGAAGGGAAGGGAAGGGGCAGAGATGCCCCTGGTTAAGAAAAGCAGCCCTGAGTAATTGGAGGTCAATCAGCTGCACTGCCTGGCCTGGAGGGCAGAACCTCCCTGAAGGAATCCTGACTTGGGTCCATTTTCCACATCTCCAAAGTTCCCTGGACAAATTATTTCCCTGCTTCTTCTAAAAACAACTTGGAAGAAACGTTGTCAGCACCTGCTTGTATATAACAAACCAAAATGAACTTTGAAAGAGCCTAAAATAGTGATTTTACAAAGAAAAATCTAAGTACCGATGCACAAATATTGAATTTTCAATTTTCATTTTAAACATATCTGCATGTCATTCATCTTCACAGGCAACTCTTCTATTTTAATGACGTATATTTATTTTTATGACATTTCTATGTATAAAAAAAGTACCTGCATACCTTAAAAACCCCTTTTTAATTAAAAAAAAAAAAATTAAAATGCAGAGAACAAGCACAGGTGAAGGAGAAGTCACTGCTGCAAGAAACTTCAAACCAGAGAGTGACAAAGCTGCAGGCTAAGGGAGCACAGGAAATGGCATTTCAAAGGTATTTTCTTCCTTTCAACACAAACATCCCTACAACAAATCTTCAGACCTCACTGAGAGGCCCAAAATTCCTAAACAGATCCTATTTTGCATTATTATAGCCTGTACACTCTCCTGATATAATGAATTATGTGGTTTGATTTATTGTTTAATGTCCAGAGTTTGCTTAGAGCGAAAGTGGAGAAAATATTTATTCACCCCAAAGAAGTAATTTCTTAATTTAAGCTGAATAGGGCACTTTTGATGCTATTTTTCTAATGTCTGGATTCAATATTGAAGGTAAAAAAACAAATCCTGAAATTCTGATTATTACAAAAACAGTCATGGAAGGGAAAAACTTGTTAAAATAAAGAAGTTTTTTTACTGATTTCATGTTCTCGTCTTTGCAGGCTTTCCTATCGGACCGGTCAGGACACGGCCAATTGTGACACATGCAGGAACAGTGCATGTATTATCTACAGGTACCTTAAAAACACCAATATTCCCATTTTTTCCTGGGAGAGAGCAATGATTCTGTCATTAATGCAGGCTGGCCTCGATGTTCCAATCAACACAACAGAAATTTAACTCCACTGAAGCCATAAAATTCAAGCCCTGTGTAAATCAGAGCTGATTGTGGGCAGCAGAGCTGTGGGATGGGAAATGTTACAAGGTGTGAGCTTTGGTTTTAAATTGCTGGGGGTATTTAGGATTTTTCTGAGCAACAAGTGAACTTCAAATTTACTTTTATACTGTACCTACTTTAGATTTATTTTTATGGCCATAACAACTGGACTTGGGAAGTCATTTGGAGAGAGGGTCTGTAGATCAAAGAGAACCAGATACAGATCCCATTGACAGTCTGAGAGTGAAATCAGGGCTGGATGGGATTTTGGTCAGGAATTGTTCCCTGGCAGGGTGGGGAGGAGCTGGGATGGAATTCCCAGAGCAGCTGGGGCTGCCCCTGGATCCCTGGCAGTGCCCAAGGCCAGGCTGGAGCAGCCTGGGATAGTGGGAGGTGTCCCTGCCCAGGGGCTGGAATGAGCTGAGCTTTAAAATCCCTCCCAGCCCAAACCAATTTCTGATTTTATAAACTGAAATTCCTACCCAGGCTTTTTTTTTTGGCACATCCAGTGAAGGAACAACAGGCACTGGGCATCAGGTGAAGCCATCATGAGGCTGATGATGTTTCACACTGACAGCTTCACTGTCCTTCTCCTCCTCTGGAGTCCCAAAAAATCCAGCTGGCTGTTTGCAGGAGGAGCAGGTGAGGTGAGCACAAACGTGCCTCAGGTTTGCAGCAAAGCAGGCAGTGCAGCACAAATGAAAATGCACAAAAATGACAATCCAGTGAAGACAGAAACTCAAATGAAGGCACCAGTGTAGGATTTCCCCCCTCGCTCTGTAATTCTCTGCTCAGTCAGCTTTAGGCAGAAGAGCTGGAGCTATTTATTTATTAACTTTCTCTTCTCTGCACAGAAATAAAGGAAAAAAGGATGGAAACCTCCAACTGACCACAGCAGGGTTCTGTGCAGGAGCAGGAACCAATGGATGTCTTTCTTCCTCCTTTACAGCCAAATTCAGAAGCACAGAAACACCCAAATCCTCCTGTGCCTCCCCTTTGCTGTGCAATTCCTGGCTCAGAGCAGCCTGGAGGTACAACACAGCACAATTCCATCAGGAATTATCCACATCCCATTAGCTAGGAAAAAAAATCCAGTTACAAATTTTTGCAAATCTTCATTTCTACTCAGTGGATTTCAAGTTAAGGAAACTTCCAGCTTCCACTCTTGCACTCAATGCAAATGGGATTACTCCAGAAAAGCAAATTGGGAGAGTTTTCCCACTGAGAGAGGTGGAGTGGGCAGGTCCAGCTCCCCATTCCCACCTGAAATGCCTTTGGATATTTGCCCCAAGCCACGCTTGCAGGGGATGCTTGAGCAAATCCAGCTCAGCTTGGTGCCAGTTTAGGAGAATTCCCACTGCAGGAGAAAAGGGGATTGCCATTCTGGAGACAGGATAAGGCAAAGGGATAAACCAGGAATTCCCTGATAAAAGCAGCCCTGGGATGTCCTGTAGGAACTTCTGCTGCTCCACGAAGCCCTGACACCTCTGGGAAAAGGGCAGCAGTTCCTGAGGCAGGCTGGGATTAAATCCAGCTGCTCCCTTGCCAAGGGTTTGCACGGAAAATGCTGCAGGGAGTGACCTGAGCTCTCTTTAGGGTGAAACAGCTTTTAGGAACAGAAATTAAAACTGTTCAGAAATCCCTGAGTTCTTGGAGGGCACTGGACCTGTCAGAGGTTCAGCAGGAGGTTCTTAGTCTTGAGCTCTTTTTCCCAATTAACACAGGAGAGACTTAAAATATATATAAATAATGCCCTTATGGGATAAATCAATATTTCAAGATAAATCCTTCACTTTGCCTTAACTGTCTGTGTAGGTTTTTGGAATGTGATTTAATTTTCAACATATTAATACTAAAAAAAAAAATATATTTACAGCTGTTTCAAATCTTTATTTTCAAACAACATCTTAAAGGAGTGACTGAGTTACCCAAGTGCATCCTGAGTGTCAGGCAGAGCACAGGTGAGGAGGTAGAAATTCAGGAAATTTAAATTCTTCCCCCCTCAAGATGCATTTCTGAGTATTGGCACAATGGAGCACAAAAGCCAGAGACAGTGGAGAAAGCAACAAAAAAGCTTTAAAGGGTTTTTAGTATCCAAAATATCAATACTGTCAGGAATAAATTCTAAGAGTCTTTTGGGAATACAGTTATTTTGCATACGAAACTTAATTTTTTTTCCTAAGATTACAAATATATTTCATATTACTTTCTCTTTATATTAAGAAGAATATATATTTCTTATGAATAAAATATATAATATATATTCCAAAAATTAATATATATATTCCTTTAAAAAAAGAAATAAGGGAAAATCAAGTTGCTGTCTCATTAATTTTTTTTAAAGAAACAGGAAACTGATCAAATATTAAACAGTAGCAAAAAGACAAATTAGCAAAACCTGAAGCTGCTTTAAAAATCAGGAGGAAAAGAAAGACATCCCCATTTGGGTATTCCATTTTCCTCAAAATTTGATTTATTTCTGCAGTAAGTTCAGGAACTTGGAACTCCAGACCCAGGAATCACTGTCACCTTCTCTCAGTGCACCAGAGCAGCCACAGCCTTAAAACTGACAGGAAAAACTATTCCTTGGAGCCATGCTCAGGCAGAATTTAAAACAGAAGTCAAAAATGTGATCAAATTGTAAAAAAACCCAACCACTTGATCATTTTATCCAGCAGTTTCAATAATCATGAGGTCACAGAACACTTCCAAAATCACCTACAAACACGAGACAAATTTCTGTCTGATGTTGATGCACCATTTTTAAGGACAGAAAAGGAGTTTTAGCAGGGGGTATTGCCAGGATAAAGTCAATTTAAATCCTGAGGTATTTCAATAAAAATTCTGTGTATCATGGTAAACATGCAATTTTTACAGTGCAGTAAAATCTTGCTGTTAAGAAGGAATTGCACTGAAATGCAGAAACTGTAGCAATTCTGAAATACCCAAAAGCCAGGTACACTGAAAGCTTCCAAACCTGTTTTATTCTTTATCTTTTTTATTATTTTTATTATTTTTTATTATCTTTTCCTGGACCTGCCCTTTCTGCTCCTGTTTAATTTCCCATCCCATGGGAATGTTAATCCCTGATCAAGAATCTGAAAATGGGGCTTCTCTTGAATATTTTGTGTATTATTCTCAAGCTTTTAGTGTGAATTATTTCTGGGAAGGAGCATCTTGTGGAATTCCTGCTGGACTTCCCTTTAGGCAGGGAGGTCAGGAATTTCCAACAGCTTTTACAAGGAAATTTCAGCTTCTGGAAGGAAACTTTTAGGAGCTGAAATCCCAATTTCTGATATGGAAGGAAAACAAATCAACATTCCACTACTGTAGTTCTGTGGGGGAAAAAAAATCACTCAAAGCTGTCTCAGCCATTAATTTGGTTACCTTTTACTCCTCTAATTTATGCTGCTGTGTTTTTACTTTATATTAATTTAAGGTGGACTGTCACTATCCAGCAGAAAATGTATTATTAGAATCTGTAAAATGTAATTCAATCCAAGGAGTGTAACAGGTTAAAATATGGGGATAAAAGTTAAGCAGGCAGCACAGAGCTGGAAAAAGTTCACTTGTAAAGGTTAGATACTTAAATATTAATTATTCAAATTAAAAAAATGTGGCAATAAAAAGTGAGCATAAGGCATCAATCCCTAGGATAGCAAGAGCTTAACAAAATCAGGTGGTTCAATGCTGAGAATAGCAATTTTCATCACCTTTTTATTTCCTACCCACATTAATTAATTTACATTTTCTCATCTTATCTCTGGACTATAAGATGCTTTTTGGGAAAAAAATGGATCTCCAAGGCTCCAGAATGCTGGCAGTGCTTTGGATCCCAGGCTGGGCTGACTTCTGAGCTGAAACAGGAAATTTAGCAGCGATTGCTAGGGAGTGCATTAAGTTCATTTTCAAGTGATTAGTGCTTCTCTGGATCCCATTTTTTCCAGGATGTGAAGCACCAATGCTGTGTCATCCAATTAATGTGACCCACAAGGAATTCTGTAATTCCTGCTTCACCTCCCCTGCCCAATGCCCAGGGTTCAGCTGCCCTGAGTGCCTGCAGGATTTGAGGATGAAAAGGGAAATTCAGGTGTCATCTGAGGGGCTCAGCTGGAGGGGAAGGAAAAAGAATTTCCCTGGAGGCAGGAAGAGGAAAAAACTGCCCAGAGGCTGTGCAGGCTCCAGCCTTGGAGGTGCCAAGAGACAAGAGGGGGAAGGAGCTGGAGTGAGTCCAGAGTAGGCACCAGGATGATCAGAGGGATGGAGCAGCTCTGCTGTGGGGAAAGTTGGGAGAATTGGGATTGTTCAGCCTGGAAAAAAAAAAGCTTTGGGGTGACCTTATTGTCCCTTCCAGTGCCTCAAGGAGCTGCAACAGAGATGGAGAGAGACTACAAGAGTCTGAAGTGACAGGACACAGGGAATGGCTCCCAGTGCCAGAGGGCAGGGCTGGGTGGGATTTTGGGCAGGAATTGTTCCCTGGGAGGGTGGGGAGGAGCTGGGATGGAATTCCCAGAGCAGCTGGGGCTGCCCCTGGATCCCTGGGGGTGTCCAGGGTCAAGTTGGATGGGGCTTGGAGCAGCTGGGACAGTGGAAGGTGTCCCCACCCAAGAGGTGGGAATGGGATGAGTTTAAAGGTCCCTTCCAACCCAAACCAGCCCATGATTCCATGATTCTCTGATAAATCCCTCAGCACCTCCATCCTAAACCCAGATTTCTCTGACTCAGCAATTCTCCAGTAACCAACAGATCATGAGCAGCCAAAACCTGAAAATGATTCATGACAACGTGTGACTGTGCTAGAAAGTAAGAAGACCCATCCATATCTCAGAGCTTGTTGCTCCATAGCCTCCCACAGTCCATATGTTTAATCCCAATGGTTCTCACTCCTCAAATTCTGCTTTCAATCCCTCATGCAGCAACTAAATTAGAAAAGGTTCACTGCTGCCTGCAGGCAAAAAGTAAACTCGTTAACATAAATTGTCAGAAACAAAAAGCCAAAACCAGCAAATTCATCACATCAATGCCTCAGATCCCCCGAAGGGGCTCCAGGAGAACTGGAGAGGGACTGGGATGGAGGGACAGGACACAGGGAATGGCTCCCAGTGCCAGAAGGCAGGGATGGATGGGATATTGGGGAAAAATCCGTCCCTGGCAGGGTGGTGTCAAAATAAAATCATCCAAGGGCTGCTAGTTGATTTTCATTTGGCCCAATTTTCCTGCACTGATACACAGGCAATTGCCCTAAAATGGGAAGTTTTGGTTGCAAACCTTGTAAGTCTGCAGTGATTCTGGGGACAAAACAAGGAAATATTTATCACAAATAGAATTTTACTGCTTGTAATTATTGATAAAAACAGCCCCTCTGTTTGGAGGAAGAATTTGGGATAGACATTAAACACGGAAAAGCTCTCAGTGCTCCTAATCTAACAATATTTAACAACATGTAGGGAAGTAAAGCTTTAGGATGTCCTGACCAGGTGTGTCAGGCCAAGGTTTTTATTAAATACTATTTAAGATTCGTCTCTTGTTTCTGTAGGGCTCGTTCAGAATTGTCAGTCTATTGAAAAATGGGATTCTATTATTAAAGAAAAAATGCTTCTGAAGCAAGTAATTCCCATCTCCGTGTGTAATGCCAGGAGAACAGGAGAGTCCTGGATAATTAAGTTAATGGAGTTATTATGGGCAGGCTTAAGGGACAAAATCCAAGTTTGAAAGTGAAAAGAGGCACATGGCAGGGAGGATATTTCAGGAAAAGGTCATTTGGAGAGAGGACACCTGGAGATGCTGAGGGGACAGAAATAGCACTGAGTAAAACAGGATTGGCAGAGCTGTGACAGGTGACAGAATCAAGCTCAGGAATGTAGCTCGATAACAAAAATATCAATAAATCCTACAAATATGGAATGTTTGCTGAATTTAATCCCTGGAAGTGGCCAAGGCAAGGTTGGTCAGGGCATGGAGCAACCTGGGATAGTGGAAGGTAGGAACTGGATGATCCTGAAGGTCCTTTCCAACCCAAACCTTTCTGGGAATCTGTCATTGATGATGATTAGTAGAATTTCATATGATTAATATAAAATTAAGGAGTACAAATAAAGCCAGCTGTAGATAATAGAGAAAGAAATGTGATTTTTTTTTTTATAAAAGTCTTATTTATTTCTGCAGCACAAACAGGGATAAGTTAAAGCCTAAGTTTTCAATTAAATAATTTGCCTGATGGAGCAATTCCATTAAAACACCTCCAATGCTGGATAAATTGATGCCGATAGACACCAATCAATTATTCTGCAAAACTTACTGTTCTAAATGCTGAAATAACACAAATGTTTTTCCTTCAGCCTCTTTATACCCTTCAGAAGGAAAATATTTCCCTTGGATGTGAAGAGCTGGAAGCTGACCTGTGCTGCAGCAGCAAAAGGCAATAATATGGGGCTTGTCAGATGGACCAGAACTAAGATGCTTTTTTTCTCTTGAGGTCTATCTTTAATAGAAATTGATTATATAAAAAATTACTCTCTTCAGCAAGGGGGTTTTATAACCATTTCTTTTTTTTACAGAAATTTCCAGCAGCTTTTAAGAGCCTCCCTGCAAGAATAATGTTTGAAAGGAGTAAAAATGAACTCTGGCAATGCCAGAGTTGAAAGGTTTTTTTTTTCCCCCAAAAAAAAACCTTTATACTGAGGAAAAAAACCCAGATACAATACATGCTAAATGCTGCACTTCAAATGAGATTAATGAGCTCTTAAAGAAGCATCTCCCTAATTCCAAGATTTTCTGTGTCTTACTGACAGAATTCCTGCTCTGGGACATTCCCAATGAGCTGATATCCACATCTCACCACTAAATTCATGCTGAACTTCTCCAACCAACTATTTTTTGCCAGCTACACTGCACACAGAACATGTTATCACTGAAGACAACACTGTTTTTCCATTAACAAGGAGGAATATTAATCAGTAGGCTTGGAATGTGCTTCTGTACCAATACAGCTGCCTCCTGAAAATTCACCATTCTACACTTCCAGCACTGAGCTGAAATGCTGAAAATTATCTTTGATTTGTAATGGCTTTTTATTCATTAAAAACATGGCAATGATTAAAATATTCTATTTGAATTCTTACCTAATGCATTTCTCTTCTCTGCTACTGAGAAGTTTATCCAAATCACTGAAATGCTGAAATTTTTGCTAAAAATGGATTTTTACACTTAAACCAAACACCAAATTAATCAAAGCCAGATGTAAGAAGATCTCACACCTTTCCAGCTCCCCTTTCTGGGGCTCCACCAGAATCCTTGCAGTCAGAATCATCAGCTCTTAAAAAAAAACAAAGCATAAAATTCTCCCTATCCTTCTCTCAGCATCTTTGATTCCAAAGAGGAAAATAAACCCCACCTAAATCAGCAGATGGTATTAGATGACATTTTGTGCTCAGTTTACAAAGCCTGTGTAAAGTGAAGTCCACCCAAATTTCCCCTTGGAAATCTTGGAGGTCTTTTCCAAGATGATGATTTCTGATTGGATTTTCTTTTCCAAGATGATTTTTTGATAATGATTCTGTTGGAGAATTCCCTCTGAAATGGCTGCAGGTGTTCTGAGCCATATTCCTGCACCCCTTAAGTCAGACAAGGCTTAAACTGAAGTTTAAAATAATCTCTTTTTGGATGAGACCTGAGGAATCACATCTTACTTCTCCAGTGGTTCACTCCAAATAAGCAATGGCAGAAATAAGATATTTAATACTAAGTCAAAGTGAACTCAAACTCAGGAGTGATAACTTCATATTTAGGTAATGATGAAAACAGCCAGTGCAAAGCCCAAGACAATTCAGCAGTGGAGGGGGACAGGGAAGAAATAAATGAATCCAAGTGCCTAAATTCCCAAAATGTCCCCCTTTTAAATTCATCCTCTGATATCCAGAGGCCCCTCTGCAACAGGGTTGGACCAGATGTCCTTCAGAGATCCCTTCCAACCCCAAATATTCTACATGAGACAGGAACAGCCTCAGTGCAGGACGTGGCCAGAGGCTGCTGCACATACCCAACCAAAAGCACCGAGTTCCAGGGTATTTCTGAGGGGCCAAAATGCAGTTTCCATCATCAGACAGGATTTTTGTTCCATTTTATGCTGTGGTTCCTTTGGTTTATAAGGTGGCCTCAAAATGCTCTGCAGCACAAAGCTTAAATAAGGGTTGGAATTTCATTTCAATTGCGGTTCTTAATTGCTGGGAGGATTTTGTAGCCGACAGTGTTTGGAATTCAGGACAGGGATTTGACAGCTTCAGTCTGTTTTCTGAAGGCAAGGATGCACTATAAAGGAGAACTGCTTTTTAATTGATCTATTTATCCCACACATGCATATGAGTTTATACATACAACAGGAACTTGGTGAAATTAATCTTTTCCATAGTAAAAGTGGCAAGGAACAGCTCAGGTAGAGAATTTCTGGGATAGCCTCCCTGGTTCTTTCCCAAAGAACAAGGATGCAGGTGCCTGGCTGCCACCCTGACCTCCCAGAAGGGAGAACTGAGCCTGGAAACCCTCAAAAATCATTTCTCACCAAAAAAAAGCTGTATTTCTAGGATTCAGACACTTCCCAGCACCTCCACCATAATCCTCAAGACCCTCCTTAACAGCAGGGAAAAGCTGAACAGTAATATGTCCCTTTTTGAACTTGCCCTTTCCATTTTGGTGCAAGAGCCATTTATTATTTGTCTTCCATAAATTAAGCACTTAGACATTGGGTTAACATTTTTTTTATCATCATAAATAATGAATCGGTTTTTTTCTTCCCATTTCTAGCGTGGAATTGGATTTTAAACAGCAAGAAGATAAACTACAGCCAGTTTTGAGAAAACTTCATCCTATTGAGGAAACTCAGGTTGCACCTTTGCCTTATTCTCAGGAGAGCTACTCCTCTACTCCCAAGCAAAAATCCAAAACTGAATCAAAAAAGCATGGAAGATGGAAACTCTGGTTCCTTTAACCCAAGTCCATTACGTGTGGAGTTCAAGGCCTTCTTTGACAAATATTTGGAGTTGTATCCATCACCTCTGACGGGATCCTGGTGGAAGGAGGAGCGTCCTGGCCAGTTCTCACCGCGTGTACCAAAAAGGCCTTTGTACCGACGGACTCATGCCCAGGAGCACGGGCTCAGGGAACCCCCTGCCCACGTCTGCTTGCAGTTTGCCAATGTGGGATGTAAAACCTGAATGGAAATCTGGACAAAGATGGGAAGTAAAACTGTTCCCCCTCTCCCCCAGCCCCTGCTCAGATCCGTAAGCGTCGCGCTCCTGTTAAAGTGTAGGCCGGCATCCTGCTCCCACAGGAATGGTGAAAGCCTTTTGGGGGTCTGGGTCGTTGTCTCCGGACAACAACGAGGGGGAAAAATAACGAGCAAGCCTTATGTGTGCAGTGGTGTTCAGTTTTACAGCTCCATGTTGATCGGGGAGTGCAGTTTTCAGCACAGAATTCCTGGACAAAGCACAATTTTTCCCGCGGCCCGAGGCCGCGCCGATCTCCGAGATGTGACTGTGGTGTATTCTCTGCCTTCATGCGATGTAGACTCCAACCAAGCTCTTACATTTCAACATCATTTCTGGTTTAGCTGTGTCCTCACCACCAGAAGAACCGCTCTGCTGCCCAGCCCCAGCGGGGGAGCGGCCAGAAAGCTCCCAAAAATCAGGCCCAGCCTTTAAGCACCTCCAGCTCACAGGGTCCACGGGACAACCCCTCAGTGTCACCTTGGAAAAGTCTCAACCACACAGGAACAAAACCCCACCCCAAAACAGACCCATCCCAACCCCCACTGTTGGCCTTTGCCATGGGTTAATATTTTTTTTTGTAACAGTCTTTGGAAAAACCTCTCCACTACTGCAAGAAGGCACCAGGAGATGGGGAGGCTGCAGCGCTGCTTGGAAGGAGCTGAAATTTGAAATGCTATTTATTTATTTATTAATTAAGCTTCTCAGATGGGTTTCCCAGCTTATTATAATTTATATCTCGATCTATTAATTGTACTCAGTAATTGAAATGCTTAGGGGAGAGATGGGAATCAGATTTTTCCTAATTTGGTTTGGGGTTTTTTTGAAATGGCACTTAAAATTTTACTCTGACGTATAAAGTGCAACTTTTCCTTTAAGTATCTACTGCTGTCATTAAACTTGCATCTAAAATGACCATTGGTGGAAAAATTCCTCATGCTAGAAGTGGCCAGGGAGTGGGAATCCTGTCTTTTGGTTTGGTTTGGGATTTTTCCCTAAGGATTTCAGATAATTTGAGCGCCATGTGACAAACTGGGTTTGAAATTGCATCCCCTGTAGCAGCAGGAAAGTACAAATTCTTCAGCCTTTAGGTGCAAGAATCATTTATTTGTATGTACTAAAAATTTGGGGAAGTGTTTTTCTTTTATACCGTTTCTCCTCTTAGCTCAGCATCCAATTTATTCCTGAGAGGAAAATAACTCCATTTTTTTCCCCCAAAGAGCAAGAAAAGCAAGTTAAAATGGGAATAGAAATGCAAAAGATGCCTATGGCCAGCTCAATATTTGCAGTAGACCTTCAAGAGGGCTACGAGCTCTTGCACAGAAGCAAATCCTGAAATCCTCTGGTGGGAGTTGAAGGATTAGGAAGGTGATCCTGTACACCAGGAAGGAAGTGTCATTGTTTCATGTGGAAAAAAAACCTGTGTTTCATGTATTTTATATTGTTTTTAACTAAAATATAGAACTGTTTACAAAACAGCCCACACAACACGGCTTAGAAACCTAAATATTTCTAAACAAAAAATTACTTTTTCCTAAGCAGAAAGGAATCTCAAAAAATGGGCAGATCAAGGAAAACACAGCAGTATCCATTACTAAAATAACACCAGTAGTTAATGCACTCCTCCATGCTATCAGGCCTAGTGTTTGGGGTTTTTTAAAAAGATTAAACCAAGCATCTCTCCATGGCAATCAGTTCCCAAATCCTCAGTGCCACCCCTCAGCAGCTTTGTGTGTGTGCAGGGACCCTGCCACAAACCCGACCTGTTTGTGGTTCCTGACTGATCCAGAGCTCCTGGAATCACGGGAAAAGAGGGAGGAAACTCCGACTGGAGAAACCAAGAGCTCAAAGGGAAAGTTCTCATGGCGTGTTCTGTACATGTCCAGGCTATTTTCTTAAGAAGTTGCAAATTTTTAATTTTTTACATTTTTTTAAACCTGGGGAAAGCTGACATTACCATAGAGTCTTGCTTCCGACTGACATCTGGTGTTCTCTGGTACCCTCCGATGTACTTTGTAATAAAATGTTTTTGCAAGTGTGTAAAATGTATCATAATTGTATTGCCTTTAGAATCACTCAGGCTCAGGTTAGATAGACACCAAGAGAAAAAAATAACAAACTAATTCTTTAGAGCTTTTAGTTCAATGTGACAGAGCTATTTTCCTCTTCCTGTAGAAGATCTTGGAGGTTCTAATGAGAAAAATGAGGTTTTATTTTCAGTGTGGCTTTGCTGGATTCGCTGGCAGTCCTTTGCACTTCATACATTGATTTTCTAGCTGCACTTCTCCCATCTCCTGCTTCAAAATTTTTAGCCAATAAATACTGCAGTGATTTTATATCCCTTGCTCTTTGCTGAGTCCTTATAATTTCCCCACAGCAACAGTTGCATTCTTTGGTTTAGAACTATGAGGAAAACACTATTCCTGTGAGTAGCACTTGGTTTCTTAAAGATTAAAAACAAAAATAACTGTAAAAATACTTTTAAAAATCCAGGATAAACTGAAAACAAAAAAAAAAAACATGATTAAAACTGGAAAATCCTACCATGGGTACAAAGTGTTTGCTTTTTCTTGCCTAAAATGCAAAACCACTGTCCATGCCTTTAATTCCACTCAATGTTTTAAAAGTTAAATCACTTTCTCCAATGAAATTTGGTCATTTTTCATGAACTTTACCAAGTTTATGTTTTTCATGAACATAACCAAGTCAGCTGTTAGATTATCCCAGGACCTGTGTATTACCACATGTTATATATTGCTGTTGGAATTGAGCTGGAATTGAACCAGACTGCCATTGAAAACCCAACTGCACCAACACTCTTTTGTCTGGGACAACAAAAGGGACTGCATGAAGATTTTTAATATTCCATAAAAGCCATCTGTGGTTCATTAAAATAACTGGAGTGCTACAAATGTGTCCATTTGCTTAGGTGAGTGCAGCTCATTCCCATAAACGTTAGGAGTGAATGCAACAGGGATGGTTTGACAACACAAAAAAAGCTCAGTATTGGTGATGGAATAAAATGATGGCTTCAGTGTCAGTGAAATTAGCTTGTAATATGTGATTTCAAATGATTTTGAAAGAGAAGAAAACATGTGACTCAATAAAGCAAAGCATTTTTACATGGGAGAAGTTTGGTGAAGGAAATGAGGTTTTCTCCCCAACATTTTGGAATCCATGAAGCCTGACCTGGACAGATTTTAAGGCACAGGAAGATAAATTTACATCCAGATTCAACTCCTGAATAACTAAGTGCAGTCCCAGAAGTCTCCTGTGACCATCGGTAACTCTTATTTCAGGATTTCACTTGTATTTTACAGCCTTTTGTAGAGGCCTCCAGTCTGGAAGTGCCAAGAGATGGACAATCCACCATGGTGACTGATTGATTGACTGATTGATTATCCAGAGTTCTCCCATCAGTGCCACTCTGCTCTACATGACCTTTGTCACTCTCCTTGTTTCAGGTGTCACCTGCACCCCACGGAGATTCCCCTTCTCAGTCTCCTTCCAGAAACCTCAGAGACTCCACAAACCCCTTTTTCTCCTTCTGATGGCTCCTGCATCATTTCTGTTCTGGTTTCACCTCATTCTCTTCCCAAAGCACGGAGGGGAAAGCAGCAAAGTGGAGAAGATTCCATTCATCAGCAACACCACAAAGTCCTGCCCAGTGCCTCCTACTCCCACACCAACATCCAAAACAATCCATTTTCCAGTCACAGCGCTGACTTTGCTCCCCATACACCTCTGGATGTTTCCCAGAGCCACTCTCCTCAAGGACACACTCTTGGAAGTTAAAACCAAAGGAACAGGGAATGGTTTGGGTTGGAAGGGACCTTATGATCATCTCGTTCCAACCCAATATTCCCCTAGGCCAGGAGATTTCCTTTCAGAAATTAAAAGAGTTTGGTTTCCTCAGCTTTGGAAATGAGGCACATCCCAAGCTGCTGACACAAGGAGAAGGAGCAGCCATGGATCATTTTGGAGCTGCCACCGAGGCTGCCCTGTCCTGATTTACTGGAGGAGGCCGAGATGTTGCCTCACGTGGAACCCAACATTGTCCAAAAGCCACCAGGAAAGGAAAGAGATGGTTTAAAACCACCCTTCCAAAGGCTCAAGGAAGTTTATTCAATTCACTTTTTCTTCAGGCAATGTGTTCTTCCGTAAGAAAGGTTTTGTGATTTTTTTTCCAGGTGGTTTCTCACTGTGCCAGGAGCAGCAGCAGCTCGAGGCAGGAGCAAAATTAACCTAAACCAGGCAGGTTGGAGCAGCAGGACACAGCTCAGCACCCTCAGGCTGCATCCTGTACTAATAATAGAATCATTACATAAAATAAATATAAATAATAATAATAATAAATCTTCTATTCAGCAAATGGATCAAGTGAAAACCACCAGTGAGACTTACAGAGGGAAAAACAGTCCAAAAGCAACGAGGATTAAAAATCCTCTTCTTACCAAAACTACTGACAAATCAGATTTTTAACTTATCATTTATACTTCATTTCGCTTAGTATCTGGTTCTTCTCCTTGCAACTAGTCTCTTATTTGAAAGTAATTCTCTTTTGAAGGTATAAGACAAAACTTCCTTTTATTTTATCAAGGAGCTCACATTTAAGGAGGAAAAAAATGAAAACCAAATGTGCAAAGCCAGAGGGAACTGTCCAGTTCAACGCTGCAGAAAAGGCTCATCCTGCAATTAAAACTTTTCACTTGAGCACTTAAATCCTTGACATTCCTCCACTGCTCACAAACTGCATTATGTAACATCAAGTTTTGGATGGAGATGGTGTCACTAAGTATTTTTCCAAGGAGAAAACATGCCAGCTTTAGGACATCAGCAGAGTTACACTTTTAGAATAAAAAATTGGTTATGTGCTATATTTTACTTCTTTTAAAGAAGTTATCATTACTTGACCTCTGTCAGGTATTTCAAATTCCTTCCTTCCAGTCACTCTGTGTGGTTAGTTCTCTATTACAGGTAAAACTGAAAAAAAGATAGGCCACTGCATCATTTCAACCCAAATCTGATCCAAGAGAGGTCAAGCTGTGCTTCCTAATTATTATTATTCATTCTACTCCTCCTCCATTGCTGACACCACAAAAATGAGTTGTGGCTGGTTATTTAACAGGGGAATCTCTTCAGGAAAGGCTGCATTGTAAGGTAGGAGTAAGTACTCATTAAAAATACCCTGAAATCTCTGTGTTCATTAGCTGATTATAGAGGCTGTGCGTGGAGGGATTCAGGCTGTGCTCACCAGCACAATGCACATCTTTAATATCACTGCTGAGTTCAAACACACACACAAGTTTTCAAATCTACTCTGCTAACTGCAAAAGGCATAATTAACATTTTTAAATATCACCTGAATCACATTCATCAAAACAATAATTAACTCACATTCAGCCTGAAACTGAGGAAGTTAAAATAACACACAAGTCGACTTCCCTGCACTGTTACTGCATCCCAGCACTGGAATATTCTGTAGGAAGGATCTGCTTGGAACCATTTCCCCACAGATAATGTGGATTTCCATCCCTGGAAGTGTCCAAAGCCAAGCTGGACAGGGCTTGGAGCACCGTGGGATAGTGGGAGGTGTCCCTGCCCATGGCAG